CGCCAGTGCGCTGGCCCCGACGGGCAGCCCCAGTAGGCTTGCCTCTCCAGGGGTCGCCCCGAGGGGCGCCTCCCATGCTGTGCTGTGCTTTCTCGCAGGCTGCCCCTCGAGGTCGGGCTTCCTTTCGGTAGTGCGAGCATTGCCGACATCGTGCTTGGATCCCATGCCGGCTGACTAGAACGCGGGGCATCTCCCGCGAGCAATTCACATGTTACCCCCGGCAAGCATGCCCCCCCCCCAATGAGCAGCCCCCACGTTCGCCCCCATGAGCCGATGGGCTGGAAAAGACATCTCGGCACGGGAAGAGGCGGGGATTTTGTTCCAGGTTATGCTCAGTCAAGAGCTACTGAAGAAACAAGGCGCGAGGGGCAGCTGGTGCACGATTGGTCACTTGGCAGACGACGGGGAACGCTTTCTCGGAACGAGAAGTTGTTGGGAGTTTGTTAGGTCAGCCCGAGCATGGAATCCATACAGAACATCCGCTAAGACGCGAAGGGCAGCTTGCTCGGGGCCGCAAAGCGTCAAAGGTCAAACGCTTGGCGGCCGCTCCCCCGAAAACGCGATTTCGCTCGAGACATTCTCGAAGGAGTGATGTTTTGAACGAGGCGTTTTTAAATGTTTCGTGTTCAGAACGGAGTCCTCGTTTGAGACATCCTCACAAAAGAGAGATATAGGACTCGCTATCGAACTTTTTCATATTTTAGATCGGAGCTCTCGCTGGAGACTTTCTCACAACGTGGAGATGGTGAAGGCAATTCCGAGTTCGTCGTGATAGTAACAAACGAATCCGTCGCCTGAAAATTCATCAAGAGCGTTCAAGAGCGCCACGATAAACGTTCATAATCGGCATCAGGATCATCGCCAGCGCTTTTAACAACATCATCATTCTCGTCATCAGCGTCGTCGTCATCGTCATCGGTTCCGTCATCGCTATCATACTCTCCGTTGCCGTCATCATCACCATCGTCACCGAACACAGCGGACAACGCACAACACATGCACCGCACATGACACACAACACATCCCATTCATGAATACCTGTATATAAACACACACACACACGCACACCACACGCAGACGATCCACATACCGTGGTTCCCCCCTCGCCCTTCTGGCACACACCTCGCACGCGCGCCGTGCACCACCCGTTCCGCCCGCCCCGCACACAGCTTGCACACGCGCGGGCACACACTTGCACACAGGCACGCGACCGCACACAGCACGGGCACGCACATATGCAGGCACGCGCGCAGACATACATACGCGCAGCCACGTACACACGCCACCCGCAACAGTGGACCAAGGCAACTACAGGGAACCACTTAAACACAGGATACTAACAGCAATCACCGGAGCATCCAGGGTAGCTCAGCGACTGCAAGTGCAAGTCCTTGCACGCGCGTGCATGCAAATCCAGAGAAGCGGCTCTCCCCGTTTTTGATCGGTCAGGTTCGCCACGGTCCAGCCGAGTGCCGCCCGTCGCTGCCCGTTGCCGCCTGCAGGGGTTGGGTGTCCAGAGGATGCGCCCCTCTCCGGCTCGTTGCCGCCCGCTGCCGCCTGGAGGGGTGGCCGCCAGACTCGTCTGGCCCGTGGCCCTCCGTTGCCGGCCGTTGCTGGTTGTGGGGGTGTCTCGAGGATGAAGATTGCTCTTCGAAGAACAACCGCAGGGACGTCTGTGCATCACGTAGCTTGCACATCCACAGTGCCATGACTTGTGGTGTGGGCTCCACGCTGGCGAACTTTTGTGTTACTGCTATGTTGTTTTATATGAGCGATACTCATGATTGTTGTTCTCATACGTCGTATCATTATGGTTCGTCGCAGTATTAGTGTAGGCCGAACAGCAGTAGTTCTTGAAGTGGTAGTAGTCATCGAACGGCGAGTGTTGGTGTTCGCGGCAGCTATGGTAGCCATAATACTTACAGTCTTGGCATTACTCGCGTGTTGATGGTTGGGTTTTTCAGTATGGTAGGGAGTACGAGTAGGGCCGAGGAAAGGGAGGAGGACAAAGGATCTAATGCTTCTGAGGGGTTGAAGCGTGGTGGGGGAAATGGAGGAGGAGGAGGAGGAGGAGGAGGAGGAGGAGGAGGAGGAGGAGGAGGAGGTTGCGGGTGATGATACGTGGAGGATGGGCATGGGGCGAGTGGGGAGAGTGGGGGTGGGGGTGGAGGTGAGGAGACCGAAGGCGGATGCCGAGGCGGGAAGCAGGGCAAGGAGGAAAAGGATGAGGCGGTGGAGGAGGAGGCGGAGGAGGAAGAGGAGGAGGAGGATGAGGAGGATGAGGAGGATCAGGGGGCATGGGGGAGGCGGCGCGTGGGGGGAGACGGGGAGGAGGAGGAGGAGGAGGAGGAGGAGGAGGAGGAGGAGGAGGAGGAGGAGGAAGAAACAGCGCACGGGCACTGCGAGGGGTTCGCGTTCGTGCAGTTCAAGAACGCCTCGGAGGCGCGCGAGGCAATGACGGCCATGAACGGCTTCCAGCTTGCTGGAAAGGAGCTCAAGGCACCGCCCACGGGCATCGGGCAGAGGGAAGAAGAGGAGCGAGGGCAATGAGGGAAGCTAAGTGCTCTTGCGCCGTACCTGACATCCTACCCCTCCCCCCTCCCACTGCGCTCATTTTTTTCAATCTACCTACGGGTGTCGCAGCGGACCTGGAACCTACACAAGGACGGCATCGTGTTATACGCAATCTGAGAATCGGAACTGTGTATATTGGAGGAGGATGTGGCGGATGAACCAAAAGGATGAAGAATAGGAGGACGAGGAGGAGGATGAGGAAGGATGAAGACGAAAAGGAACATCAGCAGCAGCGGGACCAGGAGTATGATGATCGGGAGGAGCAGGAGGACCAGGAAAGGAGCGGGGCTTCAACGACGAGGAAATACTCAGACTCAAAATTGTGGCCAACGCTGGGGCGAGAGTGCCATTCCGAACCACGGGAACAGGCCGTCGATCCTAACTTGGGAAACGTGGGGATATGAGCTGCAGCGGGGTCACAACTTCGTAACACCGGCATCGTCTCGATTGAACAAACCACGTATTGAAATCTTGCAACTTTCTTTCTGAACGACAACTGGATGCGGGGGAAAAGCTGCCCCGCTCGGACAGGATCCTGGGAGAGATGAGAGAGTAGCATTCATATTGAATCATCGTGTGGGAGGGAGGAGGGGTTAGGGGAGGGGAGAGAGGGGGAGAGAAGGGGAGGCGGAGGGAGGGGAGGCATGGGGGATGGACAGGGCCAGGGAATGGCAGGTAGACGCGGAGGAGGGAAGGAGAGGGAGGCGAGGACGGAGGGGGAAGGGAGGCAATGGGGAGGCAGGAGTGGTGGGATGCACGGGGGGAGGGTTAAGTTAAGTCGGGCCTGTCCCCCTACAGGGGGATTTTCGACGAAAAATAATAAATACCCCACAAATAGTCCAACAATAGTCCAAAAATAGTCAGGGAACAATTTTTTGAGTATTGTTTGACCTTTTTTGAAGTATTTTTGGGGTATTTTAATTTTTCGTCGAACATCCCCCTGTAGGGGGACGCGCCCGACTTCAGGGGAGGCATGGCTGCAACCAGGGGAGGGAGAGACGGCCAGTCCCCGAGGCGGCCCCGGGCGGCCCCGGGGTCGCAGGGCCCTTCAGCGCCGCCGCCCGCCCGACAGCGGGGCGGGCGCGGCTGCCACCCGGACGCGGCGGAAGGGGCGGAGGGGAAGGCCCCACGAAGCCTTGAGTCGGGCCTGTCCCCCCTACAGGGGGATTTTCGACGAAAATCCCCCAACAGGGGGATTCTCGACGAGCAAAAAATAACAAATACCTCCAAAATGCCCCAAAGAGGTCAAAGAATAGGGGAACGAAAAGTGACACAAACATAAAAACTCGGAGGTCCGCGCGGATTTCTCGGATCGGCGCCTCCGGCGCCGCCCCTGGCGCGCTCCGCGCGCCAGGGAGGGGGGTCCAGCCGAGAAATCCGCGCAGACCTCTGAGTTTTTATGTTTATGCCACTTTTTGTTCCCCTAACGAAGCCCCTCGTCCCGCCTGCGGCCGCCTCGATTTTTTCGAGGGAGGGAGAACCACCCCGACCAGACAATTGGCGTTTACTAAGCAGCCCTGGGCGTTGACTGAACAGCTCTGCCCTGTTCGATTCCTTCTTGGGGCGCGTCTGCGAAGCGACTTCGCGTGGCGGGGTGGTTCTCATGGAGTCGGATTTTTTGACCCGCCCCGCGCCGCCCCGTCGAAGCGAGTTCGAGGATCGAGCTAGAACGTTAGATGCCAAAGGCCAAGGGCCTCCTCTCCTGCTTGGGGTGGGCTCCTTTGCTTTTTGGGTGGGCCCCTGGGCCTCCTCTCCTTTTTGGGTGGCCTCCTTCACTTTTTGGGTGGGCTCCTGCACTTTTTTGGGGGTCTCCTCTGCTTTTTGGGGGGCCTCCTCTGCTTTTTTGGGGGCCTCCTTTGCTTTTCGGCCTCCATGGCGGGCCCGCCCCGCGAAGGCCCCCCCTGGCCGGCCCTGCAAGTGGTCCCCGGCCGGCCCCGCGCCCGCGGGCGGGGCAGGCGCCCCGACCCCGCGGCGGCTCCGCGCCGCCTCTCGCGCGGCGCTCGGCCGCGGCCTCCACGGCGGTTTGGTCGGAGGGCACCAACTATACACCAACGCCGATCCTGGCCCAGGATCACCCTGGGCCCAGGATCGGTGTATACGCCATCCTGCCTTGGGCAAGAAGGCGTATACACCGATCATGGGCCCAGGGTGATCCTGGCCAGGATCGGTGCTGGTGTATAGTTGGTGCCTTCCTATTTGGGGGGCTACGACCACAGCAGCACCCCGTTCGGCACTCGCCTGTTTTGGGAATCGTGTTGGCAATGCCTGTGTCTTATGCTCGTCGCGTGTCGCCCAAGTTGAGTCTCCGAACCAGAATCTTCGATGGCCGCGACCTCTGCCTCGGCGTGGCCGCCGAGGCAAATGTCTGTGCTGTGTTGTGTTGTTCGGGAGCGACAGAAGGACGTACATGTACGTGAATCCACGCTGGTTTCGAGAGCACGCATTGCGCAGATGTTCGTATCACGGTCTGGTGGATCGAGGGGCCGTGCTCATGTACACAGCTGGGCGCGTACGTCCTTTGTGGGCTCCCTAGTTGTATTGTGTTGGGTTGTGCTGTGTTGGGTTGTGCTGTGCTGTGCTGTGCTGTGCGCTGTGCGCTGTGCGCTGTGCTGTGTGCCGTGTGCCGCGTGCCCGTCCCCAGCGAGGCCCCGGGCCCGCCGGGGCTGCGTGGCCCGCCGTGCCTCTCTGGGCACCGTGCCCCCCCCCCTTCCCGCCTTCAGTCCTCCTCGCCAAGTCTTAAGTCGGGCGCGTCCCCCTACAGGGGATTTTTTCGACGAAAAAATTAAAAATACCCATACACAAATAGCCCAAACATAATCCAACAATAATCTGGGGACTATTTTTGGAGTATTTTTTGACCTTATTGGGGTATTTTTTGGGTATTTTTAATTTTCGTCGAAAATCCCCCTGTAGGGGGACAGGCCCGACTTAACTTCAGTCCTCCTCGCCAAGTCTTGGGTCTCGGAGGTTGACAGACCTCCTACCCTGACACGTCGATCAGCGAATTGGCCGTTGTCGGTTCGCGAGAAAGGGCGTCGCGGCCGTCATTTTTGCGGGTCCAGGTCCGTCCGTTTTGGTCCTGATTCTGCCATTTCCACTAAAGGGAGGTTTACTAAAGGGAGGTTTGTCCACCGCCGAAGGTCGGGCACGCCCCTCTACAGGAGGAATTTTCAAAAATAGAATGAAAATAGTCCGAGGACGTTTTTTTCCACCATTTTTGGTTACCTCTAAGCATTTTTCAGCCTTTTGTTGTTGCTGTTGTTGTTGTTGTTGTTGTTGTTGTTGTTGTTGTTGTTGTTGTTGTTGTTGTTGTTGTTGTTGTTGTTGCTGTTGTTGTTGTTGTTGTTGCTGTTGTTGTTGTTGCTGCTGTTGTTGCTGTTGTTGTTGTTGTTGTTGTTGTTGTTGTTGTTGTTGTTGCTGTTGTTGTTGTTGATGCTGTTGTTGCTGTTGTTGTTGTTGCTGTTGTTGTTGTGCTGTTGAACATTATTTCTTCTTAAGAATAATTATTGTTGGGACCCCTGGTGCGCGCCCCCCCCGCCGCGCCTAGGCCGCAGCCTCATTTTCATCATTTTCGTGAGGAAGTCTCAGGCAAAACGATGTGTACCAGATCCGGTTGTTTTGTTGTCCCCCGCTTTCCCTTGCAAAAAATAAGCTAAAGTGGACATTTCTTGTTCTAACATAACCAAACTTCAAGAATCCCTTGCAAAAAATAAGGTAAAGTGGACATTCGCGCGCGCAAGACGAAATCCTTCCAAAACCTTAGTTTTCGTAGCGATTTTAACATAAAAACATCAAAACACCAATGGTTTTTCAAAAAAAATTGTCAAAATTTCATCCCGCGCGCTCTTGCGGATTCGTAGGAAACCCAACACTTTTTAAACATTTCTGTCAAACGGGCTTTTGCGAGCAACTTTTTCGAACTTCTGCAACAACGGTTGCGCACCTGCCAGGGCCATCATCCCTGTCAAATAATACCATGCGGGACACATTCGTTTTTTCTTCGCGCGCGCACGCCGTCGTCGTCGGCCGCGGGGCCCTGAATAGTAGCCACGGTCGTCCGCATGCCACGAAGTGAAGTGTCCGAACGTCATAGGGCGGGAAGCTGGGTGTGGGTGGTGGCGAAGAGTCGTTTGGAAATTTGGTAGAGCTTGAACCGGCCCCCCCACAAAGTGGGGGTATTGCCCGCCTCCTATGAAAACCCTGGCACTGGTGAGAACGGAGTCTCCCCACGTGCTAGTAATTGCTGTTGTTGTTGTTGTTGTTGCTGTTGTTGTTGTTGCTGCTGTGTTGCTGTTGTTGTTTGTTGTTGCTGTTGTTGTTGCTGCTGTTGTTGCTGTTGTTGTGTTGCTGCTGTTGTTGCTGTTGTTGTTGCTGCTGTTGTTGTTGTTGCTGTTGTTGTTGCTGCTGTTGTTGCTGTTGTTGTTCTTGTTGCTGTTGTTGTTGCTGCTGTTGTTGCTATTGTTGATGTTGTTGTTGTTGAACATTATTTCTTCTAAAGAATAATTATTGTTGGGACCCCTGGTGCGCGCCCCCCCCGCCGCGCCTAGGCCGCAGCCACGTTTTCATCATTTTCGTGAGGAGGCCTCAGGCAAAACGATGTGTACCAGATCCGGTTGTTTTGTTGTCCCCCGCTTTCCCTTGCAAAAAATAAGCTAAAGTGGACATTTCTTGTTCTAACATATCCAAACTTCAAGAATCCCTTGCAAAAAATAAGGTAAAGTGGACATTCGCGCGCGCAAGACGAAATCCTTCCAAAACCTTAGTTTTCGTAACGATTTTAACATAAAAACATAAAAAAACCAATGGTTTAAACAAAAAAATGTCAAAATTTCATCCCGCGCGCTCTTGCGGATTCGTAGGAAACCCAACACTTTTTAAACATTTCTGTCAAACGGGCTTTTGCGAGCAACTTTTTCGAACTTCTGC